CTTCATGAACTTTACCTGGGGAGACTAGAACAAATGTCTCCTCACCCCAAAGTAGCTATCCCACCGAAGCCCAACTTGATAAACCAGTGAGGTTATTGGGTTTATTTACAGAGCATGGGTGACCCCCAAAACAGCTTTGTCAGTGAAATTCTCACCTAGCATGGATGATCGACCCCCTCCCACACCTCTAGCTGCAAAGACAGAGTTCCCCCTTGTTATCCTTCCACATTCTACATACTCTAGCAACCCACCAGACTACATGCAGCTTGGGCAGAATTACAACTGGGAAGGAGGTGGAGGAAGGAAGGATGGAGTCTCAGGGAGTCTAATGACCTTCTCCACTCACTTCTATGAAGAGATGTCCGAAAGCCAGACCTTGATGCTCTAGGAAGCCACAAGTGTTCTGATGAAGGTGGTAAAGGCTGTTATGTGCTCTACCACAACCACCTGCCCTTTTTTTTTTTTTTTTTTTTGTAGGTAGTGCTGGAGATTTCACCTAGGGGCTCATGAATGCCAGCCCAGGACTGCACCACTGAATTATGTCACTAGCCCTCTTTGTATTTTGAAACAAGAGCTCACTGAGTTGCACAGGCTGGCTGTGAACTTGTTATCCTCCTGCCCCAGCTTCCCAAGTCCCTAGGATCACAGGCCTGTGCCCTGCATGAGGTCTGGTTCATCCCCAGTTTTTAAGCATCGTTTCATGTGCTTTTGCATCTAGATACATTTTGAAGTTAGAGCCAATAGGATTTGTAGATATATCAGGTATGTGACAAAGATTCAAAAACGGCTTTAGGGCTAGAGAGATGGCTCAGTGGTTAAGAACACTGACTGCTCTTGCAGAGGACCTGGGTTCGATTCCCAGCACCCACGTGGTCGTCAACAACTGTAACTCCAGTTCCAGGGGATATGATGTCCTTTTCTCACCTTCAAGGACCTTGCACCACACAGGTGCACCTACCTCCATGTAGGCATTATACTCATGAAATAATAAACAACTTTAAAGTCTGAGAATCCAGCTCCCCCCTTTCCCCCCCTTTTTTTTTCTTTTGATACAGCATCTCCCCACTTAGTCCCTGTTAGCCTGGAATATTCCATCCTTCTCCCCCAGCTTCCCAGAGTGCTGGGATTACAGGCATGGACCACCACTCCAGGGAGAATTTTCTCTTTTCTTTTGGTTTTGGGCACAGGGTCTCCATACATCTCAGGCTGGCTTGCAACTAACGAGTCCAGACTGGTCTTGAATTTATGATTCTGCAGCCTCAGCCTTCCAAGTGTTGGGATCATGGACATGTGACACCAGGCCTGGCGGGGATGTAAGATGTTCTTTTGCCATTCTTTGTATTGACCACCTTGCAAATTCCTAAGTAACCCAGCTATAAAGAGCCTTTAATGAACTGACTGGGTGAGCCCTCACAGGTCTATTCTAAAAGCCCAATATCTATATGATCAGTGCAATTTACTTAATAACTTTGTGTGCTAGTTTTATTTTTAAAAAATGTATTATTTTATGTGTATCAGTTATTGCTTGCTTGTGTGTAAACACACCTGTGTTGTGCAGTGCCCTCAGAGACCAGAAGAGGGCATCGGATCCCCTGGAACTGGAGTTACAGGTGATTGTTAGCCACCATGTGGGTGTTGGGAATTGAACCTGGGTCCTCTGCAAGAGCAGCCAGTGCTCTTAACCACTGAGCCATCTCTCTATCCCATGTTCCAATTTTCTTTAAAATATTGGTTGAGTACCAGGCACAGTGGCACACATCTTTAATCTCAATACCCGGGAGGCTGAGGTGGGTGGATCTCTGTGAATTCAAGACCAGCCTGGTCTATATAATGAATTCCAGGCCAGCCAGAGCTACACAGTGAGACCCTGACTCAAAAAAACAAGAAAAAGAGCATATAGTTTATAGGTAGAGTGATTGCCTGGCAGGCAGGAAGCCCAGGATTGAAGGCCAGCATTACAGAGTAAAGCAAAAACAAAATTTTCTCTGTAGTTCTCGTTCTCTCTCTCTCTCTCTCTCTCTCTCTCTCTCTCTCTCTCTGTAAGGGGGGTTGTAACTCAGAAGGACAGGTGACTATCATTTGTCATCAATCTGTTTTTCTGTCCTACCTGTTGCTAGACCCAGTTTTTAACTAGATTTTATCTTTGTCTTCCTGACAACAACAGTCTTCAGTTTGGAGCCTGGGGTGGGGCAGATAGAAGAATAACTAAATGGCTAGAGCCTTCCTATCCTAGGAGGACCTGTCCAGAAAAAGCCTCCCAGCACCATTCAGAATGTTAAGTTATCTGCCGTGACCCCAGAGACCACTCCCAGGTGTCGTGGCACCCAGGCTGCTGGGAGTCTTCTCCCTGGAGGTTGTCTGTTGGTATGGTGATAACTAAGGAAGACACATTTGTGAATGTCACCTGATTCCTTGTGACACTAAAATGATCCTTTTGCTGCCTGACACACAACTCTGACCCTGCTTCCCTACTCTTCTGGCTCTAGTGCACTGGTTAACTGGCTTCAGTTCCAGTTCCAGGTGGACTCTGCATCTGCTTCCTGACCCTTGCCTTGGGCAAATATCTTACCCAAGCTTCCAGGTCCCGCCTTTCCTTGAAATGGGACTGGTAATCTCCATGGGAGAGTGTTGCTTAAAAAGCAGCATCCTGGGCCTTGTAGGACAAGGATGAGGACAGTTGGAGTATCCATAATAATCTTAGTAATGGCAAGGACTAGGGGTGTTGCCCAGAGAAAGAGGCATGTGGGAAGCTCTGGTTCTTATCAGCAACAAAAAACCTAACAGTAACAGACTGCTTATTATGTTTCCTATACATGTTTTGTTTGTTCTTTGTACCTAATACATTTTCATCTATTGATACTATAACCACCCTACAAGGTAAGTATCTTTGTACTGTATACCCTAAAATAGACTAGGAGATCAACACCTGCCACTTCTTTGGCATGCTTTGAACGGGTTATTCTGAGAAACTGTAGATAAGGGAATAGCTTTGCAGCACTATCTTTTTGTAAAAGAAATTTACATCTATAAAGGAAATCTTAATCTATAAAAGAAATCTAGCCAATACTAGGAAGAGGGCTGCTGAAAATTACTTTTATTAATTCAGACTTTTTTTTTTTTTTGGTCTTTTTGAGACAGGGTTTCCCTGTAGCCCCAGCTGGCCTGGAACTCACAGAGATTCACCTGTCTCTGCCTCCCAAGTGCTGGGATTAAAGGCATGCGCCACCACACCCGGCTTAATTCAGAATTTTATCTGCATAACAAGAACACCTTTATCTACCATGGCTTCCTATCTTCACCCTGGGGTAACATGTCACTACTGCCCCTCCAGAAGCCCTAGGGCCCCATTCCTTTCTGTGGCTGGGAATCTTGGATCATCTGATTCTTCCTATGGTCTTTATTTTATGGGACTCCCGTGACTATATGTCATAAAATATGGGTTTCTCCTATTAATCTGTTTCTACCCACTTAATTTGTAGCCAAGCCAAAAACACTAGAAGGGAAGCCAATTTTCCCTTTCCTACAATAGACTCTAGAATTAGAGTTTGGGGAAATCAGTGCCTCAGTTTCCCCATCTACTAATAGGATAATACTAGTATATCTCTCGTAAGATTGTTATGAAGATCAAATGAATTAAAATTTCTACACAGAACAGTAACACATTAAAAAAATCTAAAACTTTGATGAACTCTATGCAGGTGAAGAAACTGAGGCACAGGAGAGTGGTAGTTTGAGATAATGCAATTAGTGAGGGGTGGATTGGGACTGCACCCCCAGGACATATGCCTGTAGAGCTACACCAGCAATGAAAGGCCACCAGGCACATGAATTACTTTGTGAGGAGAGTGGTGGGGGAAACCCTTGAATTTAGTGATGTGGAAGCCTCTAATGCTTATGTCCCCCTTCCGCTGTGGTAAAGGAAGTTTGCAGAAGCTAGTTACACTGTTTCCTGGTGGCCAGCAGTTTTTAGAAGTGAAATAGACCCAAGCCGAGGCTATTTACTTGACAGATGACAACCTAAAATGGAAAATCCTTGCTAAACCGAGTTTGTTTAGGCCAGCGGAAATTGCTTAAGTCAACAAACCTTTACTTGAGGCTTCCTACATCAGGCCTTGCTTTTAATTGAGAGGCTGCTTGAACCATAGGATGTTCACAGTTCATATGGGAAAATGCACGTAAGTCGGGGAGCAGGAGACCCCAGTGGTGGGAGGTGTGGGAAGTTCCTGGTCCACTTAATGGCCCTAGCTAGGGCTGAGAGGCTAAATTTCTCCTCTAGGGCTGGTAATCTGGAACTTTACAAGCCTGTTTATGGAGTAAGGCCTTTACCCCGAGGAAGAGTTTAAGTTTGGAGCGGTAAATGCATTTTTAGCAGTCTCTGAGGCTAGAGAGAAAGCAGGGAGACTTGCACAGGCAGAGGCGCTAACTCAGTCTGAAATCTAGGTTAGCCTAGGGCATGGGCGGTAGGGACCGCGGCGAGGCTCAGGACTGAACCGGCGATTTTGTTCAGGAAGTTTACCCGGCCTGCGGCACATTCCCCTGTCTTTGTTACGTGGATAGCTTGGGACCACCTAAGATCCATTCGCGGCTCCACCTCCGACTTCATTCAATCCCAAATTAGGCTGACCCTCCCTCAAGGAAGCGCTGCAGGTCTTAGATGCCAGCTACAGCGGCATCCGCCCAGCCAGACCCGCAGGCCGTGCTTCGGGCGGAGGCCCAAGGGTCCTCACTGCTCCTCCCTTCTGTAGGCCCCGCCCCCGTGCTCGGGTCCGAGGCTGCTTCTACTCTGCAATCCCTGCCCTGAGCGCCTGTCTGCGGCTCCCTCCCTCCCGCGGGTCTGTCCTGGTCTGAGGCTTCCTCGCCTCTGCAGGCCCCGCCTCCAAGCTCTGGTCCGAGGCGCCCTCCCTTCGGCAGGCCCCGCCCCTGTGCCCCGGCCTGCGGTTCCTCCCCTCTCCTCCTATAGGCCCCGCCTCTCCCAAGGCCCCGCCCCCGCGCTTGCGCGCCAGGACCGGGAGGTGCCGACGCACTTGGCGGGAGATAGGAAAGTGGTTCTGTGCGCGCTTGGAGCGGCCGCAGTTCCTGCTAGTGCACCGCGGGACCTGCGGACGCACTGACGTCTGAGCTGCTCCCGGGGTCCGGAGCGGCCCGAGCAGCCCGAGTCCTGACCCCGGCCCGGCTCCCGCTCCGGGCTCAGCCGGCGGGCGGTCGGGCGCGGTGCGGCCCGGGCCGGGGGGATGTCTCGGCGGACGCGCGGGTGAGAGGAGCAGGAAAGGCTGGGGCTTCCCCCCGAGACCGGCGCGGGCGAGGTGGGGGGAGTCCCTGCGGGAAAAGCACCCTGAGCCGCCCGATGCGGGGGGCGCACGCCACGCTGGGCGCCTTTGGGGCCCCTCGCTCGAGCGCTGGGGCCTGCTGGGCCGTAGAGCCTGGACGGGCGGGTCTCTGGAGTCCGGGTCCGGGCGCTGCGTGATGTCATAGGTCTCCCGCCTAATTGCGGGGTAGGGAAGGGAAGGCCGGGGTGAGCCGTGTCAGCTGGGAGGCCCTGTGCTGGGCCGGCAGAGTTTCTCGGGTCACTGCGAGTGGGGGGGCGAGGGTCTGGGAGACACTTTTCGTTCGGGAGTCTTTCGTTCGGGAGTGACTCGGATTCGCTGGCGTTCAGCCTCCGGGGAAACACAAAGCCCCTAGGCCCTCTGCCGGGGGTAGGAGGGTGCTGGGGCTGGATCCATTGTCCCGTTGGGGTTCGGTGGCCGGCTCGGTCTGGTTTCTGAGGCCCTCTTCGAGTTCCACTCGGAGAGTTGGGGGGTGAACGTAGACTGATGATGTGACTCTAGACCGCTCTGCCAGCAGCCCCTGGGGCAAAGGCAGGAACTGTGGCTCCATTTTACTTACTCACTAGAGAATAAGTGGCCGAGTCAAGCCTGGACCTTTCGTACACCTGTGTGTCTGGAGCCCAGTCGCGGGGCTTTCCCGCCTCTCTGAGAGGGAATAATAGGGTCCTGCCCTGGCCCATCTCCAGAACACACTTACCCCTCTGCAGAAGGCCATGCTGGGCTTAGGCTAAGGATGCAGGCCTGAGCCCTCTTGCTGACTTTCCCCAGAGTTCCGCGTGGTTGAACAGTTTCTGACCCATGGAGAGTGCTCATGGTGGTTGTTTAGGTCCCAGTTTCCTAGGGTAGTTTCAGTACCCAGGAGTGTTCTAGAAGTGTCCCTCTGGGAGTGACCTCCCGATGGCTCAGAGGAAGGACCTATGAAGGGTGAACTCTGTGCCTCTTATTCTCACAAGCTTGGCTTCTGTCTTGGACCCTCGCTGTAACTCCCCTGTGCCCCAGTGCCCGGCTTTCTTCTCAGCCTCTGACTCACCTTTCCTTGGAGCACAGCCCAGAACTTACAAGGGCAAGAGAAAGGGTGTGTGTAAAATGTGATTTTTTTTTTTTTTTTTAAACCACACATTTGCCTCTCTTTTTCAAGCTGGGATTATGAGGGAGGTGAGGACTTAGAGGAAGGTCAGAGCTATACCCCTAGCCCTTGTTGGCCTTAATTTCCACATCTGTTAAATGGACACCATGAAAATGTGTGAGAATTGGGAAGCCAGGAATACTTTATCTCAGGAGTTCTCCCAGCTGTCTCCATTGTGCGGAGCACGGGGCTATCAGAGCTTGTCCACACAGGTCGCTTTCACCCCCGGGCATTTGCCCAGCTCCTAATAGAATCTGGGCATTGTGCTAGGTCAGTTTCTGTCCTTTCTTTCCGAGAGTCTGAGGGCAGTTGATTTTAAAGTCAGTTTCATATGATTAGTACTTGGTAGATTTCTTTTTTTTTTTCCTATTTCTTTTGAGACAGGGTCTCACTATAGCTGGCTGGCCTGGAACTCACTATGTAGACCAGGCTGGCCTCAGTCTCCAAAGAGATCCTCCTTCCTCTGTCTCCTGAGTGGAGGTCAAAGGTAAGTGCCATCACACCTGGCAATACTTTATAGATTAAATTTTTTTTAATTCTTTTTTTTTCTAAAGTCTTTTGCATGTATATATGTATGTATGTAAGTGTGCCATGGGTGTGCGGTGCCTGTGTAGGTCAGAAGAGGGCGTTGGATCCCCTGGAACTGGAGTTGCCACAGGGTTGTTAGCTGCCATGTGGGTGTTGGGAACTGAACCCTCGTCCTCTCCATGAGCAGCCAGTGCTCTTAACTGCCTCTACTTTGTAGATTCTTGTTGCCTACTTTTTTTTTTTTTTGTCTCCTACTTTTAAAATGGTAGAAGGTGCATGAATTGGGTCAGAAATGACAGAACAAATCTGCATTCCAGATCCAGTATCTGATGTAGTACCAGATTTAGACACTTCTTTTCCTCCTCTTTTAAAATTAAATAGCAATTTTTAAATTGATTAGTAGGTGCAGCTTTTTGTGTTTATGAATCTAGTCATTCCCTGGGCAAACATTTTAGGCCTTTCAGTGCCAAACTCCCAGAATGTGAAGGCAGAGCTGACCTTTGTAGGTTGTCAAGACCAGAGGTTGCAGCTGAGGGTTTCCAATTTGCATGGGGGAATGAGGGAGTGGCTGGGAAGCAATGCTGAATGTGAGGGAAGACAGGTGTGCATACAGCAGTGGAAGCCTTCTTTGGGGCACAAGGCATGTGATTATCTTGCCTGTTTGGAAATCTGCTTTTCCACTTTACACATGCCTGATTTGGAATATACAGAGGTGAACTGATGCAGATCCTGCCATGGTGGACTTGGGCAAAGAGTACCAGCTTTCTGTGAAAAACTGACATAATTAAAAAATTTAAGGATTTATTTTATGCTGGGTGCCTTGATGTATACCTTTAATCTCAGCGCTCTGGAGGCAGAGGCAGGTGGATTGCTGTGAGATTGAGGCCAGGCTGGTCTACATAGTTCCAGGCCAAGTGGGGCTACAGGGAGACCCTGTCTCAAAAAAAATAAATAAAACAAAAAAGCATGTTAGTAAAAATGCCACCAGCATTCAGGAGGCAGAGGCAAAAAAGAAAAAAAAAGAATGGATAAAGTTATTGAGAATATATTTAAGATGTTTTCCCCAAGTAATTAGAACTTCTTAAAATTCTCATGTTTGGGGGCTGGAGAGATGGCTCAGTGGTTAAGAGCACTGACTGCTCTTACAGAGGACCTGTGTTCGTATTCCCAGAACCACCCACATGGTGGCTATGAACCATCCTTTACTCCAGTTCCTGGGGAATCTGATGCCCTCTTCTGACCTCTGTGCATTGCATGACATGATGCACTCACATCCAGGCAATACACTCATGCACATAAAATAAAAATAATAAAATATTTTTTTTAATTCTCATGTTTACTGATTGCACTTTATTTTTAAAATGTCCAGTGCTGGTATAGGCTTGTTATTGGAAAAAGAAAAGTGGGAATCTGGCTTTGAATATCATACTTTTTCTTAATGTGTTTTGTTTTTAAATATTTTATTATTATGTGTGTGAGTGTATTGCTTGCATGTATGTAAGTACAATGCCTGCAGAGGTCAGAAGAGGGCATTGGATTCCTCTGAAACTGGTTACCGACAGTTGTTAACACCATATTGGTGCTGGGAAGTGAACCCTGGTCCTCTGCAGAAGAAGCCAGTGCTAACTGCTGAGCCATCTTTGAAGCCCCTTGTGTTTGTTTTGAGACAAGCTCTCACTTTGTAGTTCTACCTGGCCTGGAAATAATAAAACTAATAAAAATAATTAAGTCAGGGTATCTCCTGACTGCTGGGATTAAAGGTGTGTGCCACTGTGCCTGACCTGGATAGTTTTTGTTCTTGTTTTTTTAAAGATTTATTTTATTTTTAATTATGTGTATATCTGTGTGTATGTCCACACAAGTACAGGTGTCTTTGGAGGTCAGGGTGTCAAATTCCTGGGAACTGAATTACAGGCAGTTAAAAGCTGCCCTACGTGGGCGCTGGGAACTGAACTCAGGTCCTGTAAGAGCAGCAAGCACCCTGTTAAGCCATCTCTATGACCCCTTGAGTTTTTTTATTTGTTTTTGAAACAGTTTCATTCTAGCTCAGGCTGGCCTTGAATTTTTGACAATCCTCCTGTCAGCCTTCTGAATGCTGGGGTTATAGGCCTGTACCACCATTGCCTGGTTAAATACCATAATCATGGTGAGGCTTTTTTGTTTTGTTTTCTATTTTTGGTGGGACTGAAGTTGGAATCTAGGGTTTTGTGCATGCTAGGTAATCTTATTCTGAAAATAATTAACAATAAAGAAAATAAAGCCAGGCATAGTGGCTTAAGTTTGTAATCTCAAGAGGTTAAGGTAGGTTTGCCTTGAGTTGGAGGCCATCCTGGGATGCATAGCAAGACCCCGTCTCAACAAATCAAAAAAAAGCCTCTAAGCCCAGGCTGAGGAGATGGCTCCGGGGATAAAGGCGCTTGCTGCCAAACCTGGTGACCTGAGTTCAAGCTCCAGAATTAACTCCTGCATGTTGTCCTCTGACCTCCACATAGGTGCTGTGTTGCAAGTTTGTGTGTGTGCACACATACACACAAATAAATGTAATAAGTTTGTAAGCCCACTTTGTTAAGTTTAAAAACAGAAGGCAGAGTCTGTGTACTTTTTGGCTTTTTGAGTCTTATGTAGCCCAGGCTGGGCTTGCTATATGGAGCTAGGATGACCTTGAGCTCCTGATCTTTCTGCCTCCTGAGTGCTGGGATTACAGGCATGGACTACCACACTTGTAAAAGTAGAAAAAGTAAAGGTCTCCCAGTTCCCTTCCTGTGATTGACTGGACCCTGGCCACATAGTACAACCCCAGAGGTAAAGACATGTAGATACGCTGTCCTTGACCTTTCGCTTCCCTCCGCAGTGAGGAGCTGGATGAACTCCACTACCAGGACACAGACTCAGACTTGCTGGAGCAAAGAGACAGCAAGTGCAAGGTCAAATGGACCCATGAGGAGGTAAGGCACATGGCTACTCTATGGATCTGGGGAGGGGGAGCATTGATGGCTGTGGGGCTGGCCAACCAGCCAAGCCTAGAGATATGAATGTTTGATGCACGTGCCTCTTTTGGAAGCAGGTGAAAAAGCCCTCTGCTTCTCTTTACCTCTTAGAGTTCTCAGCCTCTAAAATATGAGAGAGAGAGAGAGAGAGAGAGAGAGAGAGAGAGAGAGAGGAGACAAACAGACAGAGACCTCAGTACTGTTAACATGCTTCTTGCCCTTCAGACTGTTTTCTGTTTTTACAACCTAATTCCAGAGACTAGGTAGTTTATAAACGCAAAGGTTTATTTACCCCAACATTCTGAAGGCTGCGAGGTTCAAAGTAGAGGCCTTTGTGCTAGAGGGACTCTTTGTGTCCCCAGGTGGTATAGAACATCACATGGCAAGAAGGACTTACGGGGCAGAGCCAAACTGTCCTTTGAAAAAAAAATTGTATTTTATGTGTGTGTGAGATTGCCTATTGGATGTAAGTGCACTGTGTGTATGCCTGGTGCCCCAGGGGGCCAGAAGAGGGCATTGGACCCTCTGGAACTGGGGCTACAGGTAGCTGTGGAGCCACTTGATGTTGGTGACTTCTAAGAGGCTAAAATCTTTAGTCCTTCAAAAAGATTTTTTTAATTTATTTTACTTGTTATTTGTGTTGTGCCTGTGAAAGAGAGTGCTGGCATGTGTGTTACAACTTTTGTTTTCCTTTGTTTTTTTTTGAAACTTGGTTTTCCTGTAGCCTCAGCTGGTTTAGAACTTGCTATGTAGACCAGGCTGAACTTGATCTCACAGAAATCTGCCTGTCTCTGCCTCCCAAGTGCTGAGATTAAAGGCTTTCTTTTGGTTTTTAATTTTAAAAACATTTTTATCTTGTGTCTCTGAGTGTGTGTTTTGTCTCAGTGTATATAAGTGTATGCAGTGCCTGTGGAGTCCAGAAGAGGGCATAACAGATAATTGCTAGCTGCCATTTGGGTGCTGGGACCCAAACCCCATCCTCTGGAAGAAGAGTAAGTGCTATTTAACGATTGAGCTGTCTCTCAAGTCCTTGTTTTTTAAATTCTTAAATTTTTCTCTTTTTTTTTGGTCTTTTTGACACAGGGTCTCCCCGTAGCCCCAGCTGTCCTGGAACTCACTATGTAGACCTGTAGACCAGGCTAGCCTTGAACTCACAGAGATCTGCCTGCCTCTGCCTCCCGAGTGCTGGGATTAAAGGCATGCACCACCACACCCCGCTTTTTAAAATTTTTTATAACACTTATTTTATGTATGTGTGGCGTGTATGTGTGTCACAACTTTCAGAGGTTGGTTCTCTCCCATGTGGGTCCTGGGTATTGGACTCAGGGTCGTCAGGCTTAGCAGCAGGTACCTTTATCCACTGAAGTCATCTTTCTTGCCCTATTTTTTGTTTCGTTTTGTTTTGAGACATGATTTCATGTATCCCAGGCTGTTCGCCCAACTTGTTACACAGCTGAGGATGACCTTGAATTTCTGAGTCTCCTGACAGGTGCTAGGGATAAAACTAAGCAATGTTGCCAGGCGTAATGGAGCATACCTTTAATGCCAGCAGAGGCAGGCGGATCTCTGTGAATTCAAGGCCAGCCTGGTCTACATAGTGAATTGCAGGACAGCTGGTGCTACAGGGAGACCCTGTCTCAAAAAGACCACAAGAACAAAAACAAAAAACTAAGTAATCTTCCAACTGACCTACATTCCCCAACCATAAATGAGAAAGTCAATTCTTCTGTTTATGGGAGATTTTGTTGTTTATTTTGTTTTGAGATGGGTGTCATGTATCCCAGGTTGCCCTGGAACTCTCTAGGTAGCTGTGTACCTGAGGATGATCTTGAACTGCTAACCCTGCTGCCTCTGTTTCCTAAGAGATAGATAGGATTATAGATGTGAGCCGTCTTGCCCGGCTCCTGTTTCTAAACCTTTCTCGCCCTGAAACACTCAGTGGGTACTTTATAACAAGTACATTGGCCCTTGACCATCCACCCCCAAGTGCATCACTGCCTTTGCATGATGTAGAGTCCTGTATCACTTCCACCTGTGGCCTGCCATTTTCTCCAGCACACCCCAACCCAGCTATACTGTGTTCATTCTCCATAGCTCCCAGCATATTCTCTAGCACAGTGTGCCTGTACTTCTGTTTGCTCGAGGTTCTGGTTGGCATCTGTCCTTGTTGCTGTCTGCTACTGTGACTAGCACTTGGCACTTAGTAGGTGCTCTGAGTGAATGGATGTGGCTCTACAAGGCTTTCCACACATGAAAGCCAAGCCCTCTTCTTTTGAACATTGGCAGGATGAACAGCTAAGGGCCCTGGTGAGGCAGTTTGGACAGCAAGACTGGAAGTTCTTGGCCAGCCACTTTCCTGTGAGTATGGCCTCCCCTCCAGGGCAAGGGTTCTGGGTAAGCTGTTGTGAAGGACCTTTCAGAATTGCCCAGTGGGAATACTGCACACAGCTGCTTTAGCATGCTTATAGTTCTTAGGCACAGAGGTACATTTGCCTTTCTTTCCTACAAGCCAGAAGTGCCTAGACCATGAACTTGAAACTGGGGAAGCATCCTTGGAGCAGGCTTCAGACTAGGCGTCTATGCAGTTGGCTGGTACCACCACAGAGGAACATTCAAAGTCCTCTGAGAATGAGAATACCCTTCCCCAGGACTGTAGTTTTCCAGGAGAGAAGTAGTGCTGTAGAGGTGACACTTTGCTAGCTGCTGGGGTCCCTCAGGCAACCGGGGGATTGGAGGGTGGGAGGTGAGTCACAAGATCCTCTCTGTGTTCCTTCATTTCCCTATCTTCTAATGTGGCCTCAGTGCTCTTCAAAAAAAAAAAAAAAAGCAGGCGGGAATCCCTAAGTCCCAGCAAAGCTTTTAGAGATTTTGAGATAATGCACCGCCCCCCCCCCCAACCCACTAGATTCAGTGGGAGATGCCTTTCCATGGGGCCTGAGTATCTCATACCAAAAATATGCACTCATGTTCTGGTAGATAGGCATCTGGATGTGCTGGGTGGATGGGACAGGACACAACCACCTGCGATGCAATTAGACCCAGGGCCCTGAGTCTGGGGCTCAACCAGAGTCCAATTTGCACTCCTAGAAGTGCTTTCTGTTCTTCTCACAGAACCGTACAGACCAGCAATGCCAATACCGGTGGCTGAGGGTTCTGAATCCTGACCTTGTTAAAGGGCCATGGACCAAAGAAGAAGACCAGAAGGTAACTGCAAAGAGCTACACATGTAGTGGGCTTTTACCTGCTGTCAGTGAGTTGCACACTGTGAGGCTGGCAGAGGTGCTTTGTTAAATGTGGAAATGTCGAGACCCCCCCCCCCCCCCCCCATCAAGCCTTACCTGTCTTCAGGGCTCCCTATTCCACACTCACAGGCTTGGCCAGATTACCTGGTTTCTTGAGACAAAGTCCCGTTTTGTAGCCCTGGCTGGTCTGGTATTTGCTCTGTAGCCTGTGTTAGCCTTGAACTTAGTCTTCCTCTTGCCTCAGCCTTCTAAGTGCTGGGCTTTTAGGTGAGTACTACTGCCACCTGGCCCCACAAATTACCTGACTCTTCCTTCCCTTAAGACTGGGTCTCTTAAGCCAGGCATAATAATGCGTGCCTTTAATCCCAGTGCTTGGGAGGCAGAGGCAAACTGAGGCCAGCTGGGTCTACATAGCGAATTCCAGGCCAACTGGGGCTACAGGGAGACCTTGTCTCAAAAAAACAAAACAAATCCCCACCAAAACCAAAAAACAGGGTCTCACTTTATAGCTCTGGCTGACCTGGAACTCACTGTATAAACCACGCTGGCTTCAAACAGAGTTGATCCACCTCCCAGGTACCTGACTTAAATGGTAACCATATCTGCCACATAGAACACTGAAAGATAGAGGGTGGTGCACATACAGGGCTTGCTTAGCCTGTGACAGCTGGTGTTGGTATTGTGCTATGATTTGTAATGGTAATGGTTATAGCACATAATCATGACTGTGATGCCTTATCTCTTTGTTTTTTGGTGTTGCAGACTGAACATAGTGCATGCTGGGCAAGCACCCTTCTACTGAGCTATTCCTCCACCCTAATGCCTTCTCTAAGATTGCTTTTTGCTTTTTTTTTTTTTTGTGGTCTTTATTGAGACAGGGTCTCCTTGTAGCGGCAGCTGTCCTGGAACTCATTATGTAGACCAGGCTGGCCTCGAAGTCACAAAGATCCGCCTGTCTCTGCCTCCCAAGTGCTGGGATTAAAGGCGTGTGCCACCATGCCCGGCTAAGAATGTTTTTTGCTTTTTAAGATTAGGGTCTTGTGTAGCCCAGGCTGGCCTCAAACTTACTATGTAACCAACCAATGCTGGCCTTGAATGTCCGATCTTCCTGTTTCTATCTCCTAAGTGCTAGGATTACAGGTGTTTGCCGCCACATCCACAGCTTTTTAATATTTTGTTTCTCTTGATTCCATAGTCCTGTGAGGTGTGTAGAACAGTTATTTCTATAACTCTTAGAAGCCCACTTTGGAAACCAAAGTACAGAGAGCATAGACATTCCCCAAACGCAGGTACTCTGGGCTACTTTTCTGGAGTTCCTTTGTAGCTCTCTGGTGCTTCTTACTGATGTCAGCCCAAAAGATGCTATTTTACCTCGGCAAGCACAGCATGCTAGGAAAGTAGAGAGGTAAAGGGAATGGGTTATGTTTAAAAAGCATGCCTTTAATCCCAGCACTTGAGGGGGCAGAGGCAGGCGGAGCTCTGAGTTCAAGGCTAGCCTGGTCTGCATAGTGAATTCCAGGCCAGAAGGGGCTACAGTGAGACCCTGTCTCAAAAATACCAAAAAAATTTTTTTTAAAAAGCATGACCCCCCCAGACTGGAGAGATGGCTCAGTGGTTAAGAACACTGGCTGCTCTTGCAGAAGACGGGTTCAAATCCCAGCACCCACATGGCAGCTAGCACCTGTCTGTAACTCCAGTTCCAGGAAATTCGATGCTCTTTTCTGTCCTCAGGCATTGCATGACACAGGTGTACTTAAATACATGCAGGCAATACATCCATACACATAAAATAATAATAAATAAAATATTAAAAAAAAAGCATGCCCCCATCAAAGTGGTATGTGATTACTATAAAACTTTATATTAAACTGGTGGTGTACTCTTGTAATATCAGCACTGAGGAAATGGCAAGATCAGGGTGTAAAGTTAGCCTGGTCTAAGAGTGAGACCCTGCCTCAAAAAATTGTAAACTATACAGAAGTAAAGTAGATCATTTCTGTACAAAAATCCACTCTTCCCAGATTGTGGCTGTATACACATAAGAATATGTGTCTCTAGGCTGGAGAATGGCTCATTGGTTAAGAACACTGACCGTTCTTGCAGAAGACCCAGGTTTGAATCCCAGCACCCACATGGCAGCTAACAACTGTCCTTAACTCCAGTTCCAGGGGATCCAACAGCCTCTTCTGTCTTCCACGGGCGTTGTACGACATGGGTACACTTACCTACGTGCAGGCAATACATGCATACACATAAAATAAATAAAATATTAAAAAAAAAAAAAGAATATGTGTGTCCAGTATTGAGGGAGGGGACTGGCTTAGGTGGCTGTTTGTGGTCTGTGTCCTGAGCAAGGCCTGGCAGAGGGGTAATTAAAGACTGATAATCCAGCTAGAATTTGCTATGATTCGGGGCTGTACCTTCTGATTTCCACAAAAATCCTGAAGGATTTGTGGTACCCTGTGGTGTGGCTGACCTCATGTGGGTTTGGAGCCCTGTAGGATCTTTCTCTGCCCTTCTTTAAGTATATTGACAGGCTTGAGTGCAGGAGGTAGCATGCTGGCTCCTGTTGTTTAGATTTCCAGATACTCTTAGCCTTCTTTTATTCTAGGCAGTAAGTGACAAAGATATAAGGCCCTCAGGAGGCAGTAAAAGGGTCCCCAGTAACCCCAGTGCTTCCTGTGTTGCCTAAGGAGTGGAGGGCATTGGCTCTTCTCAAGATCAGAGTGGGACCCACTTGAGTTTGAAGATGCTGAAGTGAAGGTGATAGAGGGGCTGGTCCCAGTGGCTCACTGATGCTTTTCCTCCAAGGTCATTGAGCTGGTCAAGAAGTATGGCACAAAACAGTGGACGCTGATTGCCAAGCACCTGAAGGGCCGGCTGGGGAAGCAGTGCCGTGAGCGCTGGCACAACCACCTCAACCCTGAGGTGAAAAAGTCCTGCTGGACCGAGGAGGAGGACCGCATCATTTGTGAGGCCCATAAAGTATTGGGCAATCGCTGGGCTGAGATCGCCAAGATGCTGCCAGGGAGGTGAGCTGCCTGCAGAGAGCTGGGGTGGGGGTAGGCAAGCTGTTGTTCTAGGAGGGGAGGTCCATACTTGTGTTGCAGGAGTGTCCCAGAGTCTATTGTGCTGGATCTGGTGTCCAGGGCCCACAGAGGCGTGCACTGGAAAGAAGAGTAGGTCTCCCTGAGACATGTCCTGCCTGACTGAATAGACAGTACCAAGGGAGGATTAGTCAGAAAGTCAGTTGTAGCTTGTTAAAAGGATTATGATAAAACACTACTTTTGTCCCTATTTTCTACTTTCCACTAAAACAGGCTTATCTTGTTAGTTCTTAGAAACAAGAGTTTTGCTATGTAGCTCAGACTGCCCTCGAACTTTGGCTGACCTCAAACTTGCCATCCTCCTGCCTTAGCCTCTAAAGTGTTGAGATTACAGGTGTGTATTGCCATGCCTAGCCAGCCTCATCTGACTTTTTTTTGTTTTAATTACATTTTTTGTTTTGTTTTACTTTGCTTTTTGAGACAGGGTTTCCCTATAGCCCCAGCTGGCCTGGAACTCATTGTGTAGACCAGGCTGGCCTCCATCTCACAGAGATCTTTGCCTCCAAGTGCTGGGATTAAAGGCATGCACCACCACACCTGGCTGATTTATTTTTATTTTATGTGTATGAGTGTTTTAACTACATAGATGTAGCACCCTTGTGTACAGTGCCCACAGAAGCCAGAAGAGGGCATCAGATCCCCTGGAACTGGAGTTAGCCTCCATGTGGGTGCTGGGAACTGAACCCCAGTCCTGGAAGAAGAGTGGAAGAAGAGCAGTAATTGCCCTAACCATTGAGCCATCTCTCCAACCCTTGGGCCCTGTTCTCACTATTGATACCATGTTTCAGAAGAATCAGAAAAGAGACCAACTCTCCTGCTTCCTCATTGTTTCCTTGGTGTTTCTTTCTGTTTTGCTGGTTCCATGTTCCATTTGTATTCAAGGCTTTTTTCATTGAAACCTTAATTCTGTCTGGCTTTTCACATGTAGGAAGCCATCACCGAAGCTCACTGCACACAGGCTGTGCTTTTGCTGTAGGTGTTTGGGTATCCATTGGCCTTTGGGAGGGCCTTCTAAAAAGCTGATGAGTTTTTCCCTGGAGTTGCTTCTTTCCTCAGAGATGAATGATTCCTTTAAGGAAGCTGTCTGGGGTGCCTGAGCCTGATGGCAGATCTGCAGGTGCCTCCCCTGCAGGGTACAGATTTTTCATTGAACCCCAGTTTCTGTTCTGTGCACTGTTCTGTCTACATTGTGGCCACAGTGGCCTAGTTATTCCTAGAGAGGGCACCTCCCTTTTCCTGCCTGTCGGGCTGGAGGTCCAGACATGCCCTGTTTTGGGCCTGTGCTTCATCCACCCTCCCACTCAGCTTTCTCTAATCCTGGGGCCCCTGGAGTTCTGGAGGGGCCTTGAGGCTTGGGATGAGTTGGCTCAGTTCTTGCTAGAGTCTTCCTGTGGGGTCAGTTTGGTGTCAACTATTGCTGGTTGACTGAAAACTTGTAAGACTGACTTCCTGCAACCTTCCACCTTGCCTTTGATCTTGAGTGCTTTTGCTTCCTTGTATTTTGTTTTTTCATTTTAAGATTTATGTATTTTTATTTTTTGTTAAGTGTTTAGTCTGTATGAATGTATGTACATCACATGAGTGCCTGGTCCCTGTGGAGGCCAGAAGAGTGTTGGATCCCCTGGGACTAGGTTTATAGTTGGTTGTGAATCATGATTTGGGTGCTGGTAGCCAAACCTGGGTCCTCTGTAAGAGTAATAAGTGCTCCTAACTGCTGAGCCGTCTCCCCATTTTAAATGCATTTAAAATAAAGCTTGAAATAAATTTATTAAAAAACTTTTATGTGTTTGAGTGTATTGCCTGCATGTGTGTAAGTGTACCATACCTGTGGAGGCCTGAAGAGGGAGTCAGATCCCCTGGAACTGGAGGTACAGACATTTGTTAGCTGCCATGTGGATGGGGGGAATTGAATCCAGGTCCTCTGCAAGAGTAGCCAGTGCTCTTAATCACTGAGCCATCTCTCCAGCTTCCTTGTTTTATTTTGAATCCTTTTTTTTTGTCATGTTGGTGTGGTTCTGGGAGGGAGAGAAGAGAGATATATCTCCTAAAGTCAGAACTTACCTCTTGAGTGCTATCTTTGAGGGTCTCTCTTGATTCTTGGGTTGGAGTCTCAGGCCTCTTTCCCTGTGTGGCGTGGTTGGCTTTGCAGGTGCCACCATCCTCACCTTGATCTGCTGTCACCTTGGTTGCTTGGTGGTCCTGAGTCATTCTCCCTGCTCTAGGCTCATAGACACAGCTCTTTCTGACAACCCCTCCTGTCATTCTGTTGGCCTGGCATGCCTAGTCATTATTGTGAGGCTGACTGTATGGGGGCGCAGGGATCTCGGAGCGCCAGCTGCTGGGCGTGGCGCCGGTCTCCTGCGCGCACCGGCGGGGGCCGCACCGCGTCTGCCGTTTGGGTCCCTGCTTCTCCGCGTTGTTGAGGCTCTCTGCTACCCGGGCTGGCCCGGTCAGGTTCCGTCCCAATCCACCGTGCATTCTCTCTCTAAGTTCGGGACCCGTCAGCTGCCGGGTCACGAGGGGAGGTGCAGGACGGCTAAAGCTGGATTTCCGTGAGTCGCGGTTTACCGGTTTACGAAGGAAGAGACAGCTCTCTCCGGAGAGGCAGGATCACACACAGAACTCAGCTCAGTCAGTGGTACAGCCCCTTTATTCAGTGACTTAGCTCGGCTCGAAGTCTTAGTGATCCAGCTCCGATTATTGAGGGAAAACCAGGATACTTTATA